CCCTACACAGAGTCACTGAGTCAAAACTGACTAAATAGCACCTTAGAACATCAAGTGAGCAGTACCATCCGTAAACAATGTGCTCCTCATAACAATCATGAGACCAAAAGGGTAAATTTCCCAAAATATAAAGTTCAGAAGGCAGGAAGGGATAGACGAGATGGTCAAATGGAGACCAGAGACCCAGGGGGGACTTGGGGAGACTGCTGTTACCCTGAAGGGACAGCAACCAATGTTACAAAACAAAATGTGTATAAATTGTTGAGTGGGAAACTAACTTGCTCTATAAACTTTCACCCAAACCACAAAGTTGTTAAGTGCCATGGAGTCAGTTTCCACTCCTAGTGACCCTGGTAAAGGATTTCAGAGGAATGGCTGGTGGGTTTGACCCACCGACCTTGCAGTAAGCAGTCCAGTGCTTATCCTGCAGCTTTACACCAGGATTCACCCAAACCACACACACAAAAAGCATGTTTTAAAAAAATCTTTTGAGCCCAGTTGATACACATAGGATGGCCATGAGTCAGGTCCACTTGATGGTAACTGATCATTGGTTAAATGTCTAGCAGTTAACAATGTTATTACTTTATCTTCTTCTACTCCTTGCCTTTCCTAGATACTCATTCAGTGCCACCATGTGCTAGATCCTGAGGAAATAAAGATGACCTCACATATTTGTAAATAAAACTATAACAAAGATCTATCATAAATTATTTTTTTTAGTTTACAGTGTAAATTGATGGTGAAAAATGTCTTTTTAAAATCAACAGTCATTTGACTACCTAGGAGTACTCACATCTAATTTTAAAGTACCACTTCATTCTGATGTGTAATAGAGTATGTGAAATTACATTTTAGGGAATACTGGCAAATATTTTTTGAAAGACCCAATTGCCTAGAAAGCTGACACCAAAAGCTGTATAACTAATCTGTAATTAAATAAACAATAATTAATCTGTTTAGTTTGTTAATTAATGCTACAGTGCCACAAACCTCTTAACCATAACTAAACACCTTGATTAACTGAGTCACTGGACTTGAGGGCCTAGGACCATAGTGTTAAGAGAACACCAAGGTCACTAATAACTAAAAATCCAGACATTGATGATCTCATTGTTGTTGAGAGCCTTGAAGTGAACTAACATTTCCATTTCTACTGCAGTTTCCCCCTCACATATGTTTCTTCCACACCACTGTGTTAAGATGCGATTTCTCTTTCACGTCCACCTCTTTTCTATATAACTCAGCTTAGCATAACAGGGGAGGCCATATGTACAAACAATGTAGATATTAAAATTAGTTTATTTTTCTACTTAACTTGTAATAAATGAGAAGAAACACAGTAGTCTGTCTCATATAGAACATTTATAATACATTAACAATCCATAAAGCCTCATGGTGAGGTAGGAACAGCTTTGGAAAATAATACACAGTCATAAAACATACAAAAAGTTCGGTAAAATGTTGCAGCACTGTAGACATTTTATCTGCATCTGAATTTAATGAGATGATAACTGCATTCAACTGCGCCACATCTGGCCCAAACAACAGGCAACAGCAGACACAAAACACAATACACTAGGAAAGCTTCGTCAAGAATCACAGCATACACTGATACACTTCATTGTGCTGTTTCAAGGCAGAAGAACCATAACATGGCAATTGTGTCTTTTTGTATATAACCACAGATTCATTTATGTTACATTCCCTTCAGCATCTTTTTGCCAAAGACACCAGACCATAAAATTTTTGGTTTAAAAGTTTAAATTGACATACAAAAGGCTCTTGTGCCAGTGAAAATGACGGCTAAACATTTCAGAGCTTGTTAGTAAAACAAAATAGCGTTGCCACATAGTATTGGTAGAGCTACATCAAAATGGTGCTATTACAATTTCCATGTCAAAGATAAAGTCAAACACTATATTTAAACAGTTTCAATTAAAAAACAAACCAACAAATAATAATAAAAAAAAAAACCTCCACCTTCCCCAAACTTTAACACTGTTTTATGACTTAACTGAAACTCAATATTAAAATAAATATTTTTATATTGTAGAATTACTCTCCATATTTGTGTGTGAACATCTTAAGACAGCAGGTAAGTGACGTATCAAATGATACTTGTTTATAAACTGTAAAAATCTTCAACTCGGTATCAGTTAACGAACTAAATACTTCACATTAGATTCCTTAGGTAATTTCCCTCAAAACTTCCAAAAATTCAAAATTGACTGAGGATGTTAAAGATAAAAACACATTGACATAGCCTTCTTTTTCTACCTACAGTGATTTCCCAAGGTGCACTAGATAGAAATTTTTCCTACTCAAATTACATACCTTAGGTATGCAACACATTGTTCTCTAAAGCATTAAAATACATACAGGAAGTTTTTTAAGGTTTGTTTCTTTAGGTTCTAGTCCATAATTGTTTTTTGTAGTTGTTGGGTTTTTTTTTTGTTGTTTTTTTTTACAACACTGATACCCTCAAAAAAAAAAAAAAATCATAGACGTTTAAAAAGGTGACAATGGAGAATTACATCTCTTATCGCTAAGGCTGCATTTGGCTTGGAAAAATTTCTGAGTTGGTTTTAATTCAGGCACACACAGCACCTCCTTCTCACTAAGCTGAGACAACAGACAAGTTTCTAAACACATATTCTAAACACACTGATCTTGCTCAAATATAAAAGAGCCAGCAAGAAGGGCTGCACCTCTGTAAGTGATGCAGCGGTTTCAAACAGCACAGTTAAATATTGGGCTAAGTCTCTTACTAATCCAGAGTATTTCCTGCATCTCCTTCCAGTAAGGAATGAGGGGATGTTGAAAAGACACTTTAATTCCACAATATTTAAATATAAAAGCATGTTTTTTAAAGTAATGCTAGTATAGCTAAAAATGAGTTAGAAAAGTGCATCATAAAGAAATAAATAAGTCTGTTAAAACTCAAAAGGTGAGTCGGTGCCCACTGATTTTTATTATGAAAGTCCTTTGAAGAAAGAGAATCCTATGATACCACTTTGTTACATATAAGCTACTTTAAAATGTCCTGTAGTTCAAAGTGTTAAATCAGGAATGTACATGATACAGTACAATTTGCAGATTTTACTCTTGTTCACCCACATGAGATCCACTAGTTTGGTGTTAAAAAAACAAACAAACCTCAAAAAACATTTTCAAAACTCAAGCTAACTACCAGTTTAAAGAACGGAATTATACAGTATCAAGTGAGAGTATTAAAAGATTATAATGTATTGCAAATTGGCAGGTTATGGTTTTGGCCCATTAGACTAAATGTGAACTTACAAACCATGTTCCTAAAATTACTTTAATTCTCATTGGAGAAATCAGCTGTTCTTAAATAGGCCCATTGCCAGCAATAGGCTTATCCTGGGGGGGGGAGAAACCCAAACCACCATCTACCACAAAGACCATCTCTTTAAAAAAGTTAACTGTCAAACTCCAAACTTTCATCTTAAGATCCATTAAACAATGAATTTCAGTTCCCAAAAGACAGCCATCCCAAAAGTAGTCAGCTATAAAAGTTACCTAAGTAGTCAGGATATCTTGTTTCTAGAAAAATAGAGCTATACATGATAACTGATAGTGATTTTCATCTCTTTGAGGACAAAAATCAACAGTTTCTTCACAAAGCATAACACCCTCTTATCAAGAAAAATATAACTTAAATACCATAAAATAATAATTCTGTATGAATTTGAAATCTTTAGCAAAACAATTTTCTGTGTAGATATTATAGTTATCTTTGCTGAATAAAGCCACAACTGGATGACCTGGACAATGTCAAGGCCATCACCGGTGACTTACAGAATCTAGCCTGAATTATTAATTTGCTATCTAAGAATTTTATATTCAAATTGTATTAACGTTCAGGTTTTAATTTTTCTCCCAAAGTCAGTGGCTCTTAGCAAACACAAGCATTTGTTGATTGTGCTTGATTGAAAAGCTTCATGATTGGTCACCATGAAATAACTTTAGCTCTAAAACAGCGTATTTTTTTAAACTGTCCACCATTTAGAAAATCATGTTACTAGCTTACATTTAACATGGTACTAAATTTAACGGCTTTAAAAATATTTTTTTGTATTTATTTTGTAGTAAATTCTCATCTCAATGTTTCTAATACCAATCTTTCAAAGATTTGAAAGTAATGCTGGTGTACATGTCCATGTTTCAGGCTAATTGGTAAAAGAAAACATAAGATGAAATTCTCCAACTCACTTAGAAATGTCTTTTGAATGTTAACATAATCTAAATAATGTTTAGTTTGGTAAACTTTCTTCCCTGCTCTTATTCTCCATATAGCCTTTTACATGTGTAAACTTTAGTTCACAATTTGTTAACTACCTCACTGTTTATTAGAGTAAGACTCAGAAATACAGAACACAGGATAGTAACTGATTTTTAATACTAGAAATACTCCAAGTAAAATTTAAAAGGAACATCTCTTGCTAACATCCTTCAGTCATTCTTAAAATATGCTGCCATTATGCCATATAATGATCTCCAAGGGCAAGTATATATTATGTAAAATATCAAAGGAAACAAACTTGATGATTTAAAGCTTTAGCAATTATAATTCTAATAAAGAAAAGTATAACACTGGGGGAAAAGCAAAGCAAAGGAATTCCAGTAACAATTTCAATTTATTTTCCCCCTAGTTAATTTTTACCATGGAAAACGGAAATCAAATGCCATTATGCTATATAAGGTTTATACTTACTTTAAACGAAAATGTAACATAGTGTTAAAACTGGCTTTTCAAAACTGTTACAGCATAACTGTAGTCTGCACTAGAAATCACGAAGTTGTAATACAGAACTCTCTTAGGCAGCTCCATAATGTTCTTACAAAAATAGAATTAAATGGTTATGACCAGAACAAGGACTTCAGTTATGCTACTTGGCAAACTTAGAATTTCAGTGAAGATTTTTCCTCTTGCAGCTTAAAAGCAATAGTCAAATATCACTTCTTTTCAAGACTTACAAAGATGATTCAGGTTGTTTGTCTGGCACTTTTTTAATCTCTATCACAACGGCAGGAATGTTGTCAACTTTAGTCCTCCTGGGCTTCTTCTCCAGACTGTCACTAAGTTCTAAACAAGAAATGCTAACTGTTGGGGCCTTTTCTGCATCCTTTCCAGAAAGGGCTTGCGGCCGTGTCCCACAACATTGCTTCAAAGCACACTGAGTTCTGCAAGCAAGCTCACAGGGGACTACACCTGATTTAGAGCCTACACTAGCAAATTCCGGCTGGATGGTTGTAGCATGGATTCCGTGATTATGAAAAACGTCCTTAATGGTTTTAGCCACCTGCATATATGATGTCGGATCTTCACATTTTATATGAGCAGTGGCAATGATTCTGCTTCCAGCTAGTTGCCAAACATGTAATTCATGAACTTCCTCAACTCCGTCAACATTTCGAAGTTCTTTTATCAAATGCTTGATATCAATTTGTTTAGGAACAGTTTGTAGAAGGATAAGAGCAGATTCCTTAAGTAATGGATAAGTTGTGTAAAGAAGTATACAAACCATTACAATACAAAGAGTTGGGTCTAAATATAGTACCCAACAAGGGCCAGCCTCATAAACTGGCGCATGAGTACTATTAATTATTTCTATAAATGCTTTGCAGGGGTCAGGAGAACATGGGTTCACACAGAACTCCCCTGCAGGACAACCTTTCCAAGAAAAGTAAAAGACCAAGGCATTTACTACGACTATCACTGAACCCAAGGCATCTCCAAAGACATGCAGAAAAACTCCACGCATGTTAAGTTGTCCAGTCTTATCTTCTTCTTCTAATTCCATATTGTCAGGCTCTTTGATAAGATTTCCATTCACTTGTACATCCATTGCATCATTTCTGGATTTCTCTGTATCTACAAAGAAACAAAAATTTAAATGTAAGTTATGTAGATTCAGGGAAACTTGTTAATACTACTTTTTATTAACAACAAAACCTTCGTCTTTGTCTAATCCCACTTGTATGGTAAAAGATGGAAAATGCCTCATTCCTTTTGAAATGAAAAAGTTTTCATTAAGTAAAAATGTGAAATTTGCACAGGGCAATTTAATATAAATTGACATGCGAATAAGCCAGGAAGGCTAACTAATTGTCAGGGCTAACTCAAGTCACGAAAATGATACTACTTCCCCATTCTCCAAACCACCCTCTCCCAAAACAAGCGTATCTCTTTGATGGAGGTGTAAATGTTCTGCTAGACTTTTTTGGCATTCATGGCAGCTTCAAAAAGTTTATGAACAAATGGAATTAAAACATGATGGCATTTTTCCACAAGCATTTTGAAATCCCCTCGCAAACAGAAATGAAAATATAAAATTGAATGCTACCACCCAGTTAAGAGTCCTGGTGTAGTGCTGTAGGATAAGCACCCGACTGCTAACTACAAGATCAGACATTCAAACCCAGCCACTCCTCACAAACCCTACACATGGTTGCTATGAGTTGTAATCAACTAAAGGACACTTGACAAGTTCCCAAGTTAAATGCAGCGCAGAATTAATACAAAATGTTAGATTTTACTCTAGGCTTTGGTTGTAGTCCCTAAGGTCAATTGCTTGAGTAAAATCGAGCTTAAACTTGTGTTTACTGTGACTATATAACAGGCAGCCTCTTTGGGAGAGGAGCTTTAGAAGCTGACAAATCAACAATAATCAACAATCATAAAATCTATTATGAAAGCTACACCTGGAAAGGTTGGAACTAGTTTATCACTATATTTCTTTCTAATGCTTTATCTTTTAAAACACTTATATACACCAGAGTGGTTGAAATTTTGGAACAAATCCTGCTGAGTGGGAGTGAAAGGTAATCCAATTATACCTTTTAATGTTCTATGCATTCATTAACAAGATATCCTATACCTTGAAAAAAACAAGTGTGTATGGAGTTATGACACAACCAGGTAAATAAATGTAAACAGAAAAAACTGGAGAGAAATACATCAAATTGTTAACACCATTGAGCTTGAGTGATAAGAGCACTGGTTGGTTCCCCCCACCCCCTGCACCCCATTTGCTCTCTTTCAACATTTCTAAAATTCTAATTCTTTCAACAGCACTTCTTTTTAGGATAAAAAGCTTCCATTAAAAATATGATCCCTGGTGTGGTGCTGGAAGATAAGCACTGGACTGGTAACCAAGAGGTCGGGAGTTCAAACCCATCAGCCACTCTTGGAAACCCTATATAGGGTAACTATGAGTCAGAACTGACTTGAGGGCAAACAACAATTTTAAAAAGGTCTGGCAGCCTGCTTCTGAAAGGTGACAGCCATGAAAACCCTATGGAACACAGTTCTACTCTAACACACACAGGCTCATCTAAAGTTAAAAGCAACAGGCTTATGCATAAATGATAGTGCACATGCTAAAAGGACATGTTTCTAAAATCTAGAATTACCATTCGTTTTGTTCTAGATTAATACAGTTTGGAAAATAAATTATTATTTACGTAAAAAACACGTAAAATGAATAAATTCTCATCACTTTAAGTATGATCGTGAAAAATGCTATGTGAAGTTACTGCAAACAGGTGCTACGCCTATGATTTTCAGGAGTAAACTCCAAACGCACGAATCCACTGGCCCCCAGTCATTCGGACTCCCAGCGACCCTGGAGGGCACAGCTGAGCCGCCCCAGAGAGTTTTCAGGGCTGTAATCTTTACGGAGCAAACTACAGCCTTCTCCTGGGGAGCCAGAACCGCCAGCCTCTGGTTGACAACTGGGCGCTCTAACCACGGTGCCACCAGGAACAGGTCGGGGGTCAGCTAAGTGAAACCCCCAGTGCTGTTCAGGGCACTTTACCGGGGTTCTGCGAACGGGGAGAACGAATGGTCAGGCTCGCCCGAGTGCAGCGGGACACCTGCGTCCGAGGCCTGGACGGCAGACCTCGGGCAGAGCAAGGCTTAGAACCCCCAGACCCTGAGCACCCCGGGGTCGTCCCCGCGAACCCCCGCTCGGGAGTCCCGCGCTCCGACCTCTCGGGGCGCCAGGGGGCGCGGGCCCTGTTCCACCAACCACCTGCGGCGGCGCCCGCTCACCCGCCGGCTCAACGCGCGTCCCGTTGGAGGCGCTGCTGTCCGGCACCAGCGTGTTGGTCTCCTCCTGGTCGCGCCCCCGGCGGCCCGCGCCCGCGCTGCCCTCGCCGCCCGGTCGGCTGCTCTTGGCGCGGCCGTGGGCACCGTGCGAATGTCCGTGCCCCGCTTCGCGGCCGAAGCCGCTGTGATGGTGGAAGAGGCAGAGCCCCAGCACGTTGACCAGCAGCCCCGCCACGCCGACGCCCAGCACTACGAGCGGCTGCTGCATCTCGTGCGGCTCGATGAAGCGCTCGATGGCTTCGAGCAGGATGGCGAAGCAGAGGCCGGTCAGGAAGATGGCGTTCACTAGGGCGCCCATCACCTCGGCTCGGATCCAGCCGAACGTGTTCTTCTGGGTGGCGTGAGTCCGCCGGGCGAAGCGCTCGGCCACTAGCGCAACCACCAGCGCCAGCACGTCCGACAGCATGTGGAAAGAGTCGGACAGCATGGCCAGGGACGAGGTCACCCGGCTCACGACCACCTCCAACACCATGAACATGAAGGTCAGCGCCAGCATGCACAGCAGCCGCCCGCGGTTCCGATCCCAGCACCCCATGGCTGCGGCGGCGAGAGGGCGGCCGAGGCGGGCGGTGGCGCCGCGGCGCGCGGCTCTTCAGGCGTCCGTCTCCGGAACCGGCGCCAAGGCCCGGCTCAGTCCCGGCGGCCCCACACCCTCAGCGGGGCTGCAGACGTGTTAAGAGGCGGCGGCGAAGAAGCTGAGGCTCCCGGAGCCGGAGGACGAGAAGCTGGAGCAGGAGCAGGCGCGCTGGCGGGCAGAGGCGGCAAACGAGCGGCAGCTCTGCGCCGAGAAGGCTCTGAGCATCTGCGAGCTCTCGGCGCCTGACTTAGCTGTGGCGCGAGCTGAGAAGCCGACCGCTTAAGAGCTAGAGAGGCGGCGGCCCCGAAGCTGCACTCGGCCCGGTCTCGGGCTCCTTCTTCGCCCCCCCCACCCCCCGCCTTTGCAGACGGTTTACAAAAAAACTTTGCTTTGCACTCGGAACCCCCGTTTTCACACGGACCCGAGCGTGACAAGGCCTCGGCGCCCCGCCCACCAGATCCGGTACGCTTCTCTACTGGCCAGAACACCCTCACGACAGGCGTCCCGTCCCTCTCATTGCGCTCTCCATTGGATGGTTGCTCGGCGGGGCGGGAGGGGGCGGGGTCATAAAACCCAACCGATGGGGGCGGGGGCCTTTCTATCCAGGAGCCGGGCGTGGGCTGGGGGCCGCGGCCGGGTGCAGCGTCGGGCGTCGTGGGGGAGGGTCGGGGGCGCGGGCCGCGTGCATCGGGAGGGGGAGGGGAAGGCCGAGGCCGTCGGGAACCCCCCCCAGACGCTGCGGCTGTCCCACTTCCGCGCGGCGGGTACCCGCAGCCCCCAGCACACCTGCGGGGACCGGGCAGCGTTCAGACTTTGAGCCTCCGAGCCGAGTCCACGTGGGGGCGGGAGCGCTACCTCCGGGTGACAGACGGGAGGGGGAGCCCCAGCGTGTGGCGCCCTTGGGTCGCCGTGCTGTCAGAAGAACCGGAGACTAGGCCGACATACTCATAAACAAGTGCTGCGTAACTTGTGACAGCTCGACACCCTGCCGAGCCGAGAAGTTACTGCTCCGGGGCAGTCTGGGGAGTGGTGCGCACGGGTTCCCTGCTGTTTTAGTGTAGTTTATCACGCCCATCACACATCACCACCAGCGTCCCCTGGAGACCTGTGTAAACTCAAGCTGCTCGCTAACTGGACAGGTTAGGTTCGGACTGCGAGCAGGAGACACCTGGGTTCTGGTCCTTGCTTTATCACTAACCAGCTCTGTGATTTCGGGTTCGTGGACTTTCTCTAAACCCGTTTCTTAATCTGCAAAGCACAGGTTTGAACCAGAGATTCTTTCTGACTCTCAAATTCGGAGGCTCTATGATTTAACATTTGTAGTCTATAAACAGTGGAACCCTCTTGGGTGTTATGGGGGAGGAAGCGGGCAGTAAGAATCAAAAGAATGAGCTTGATCAGGAACGGGTAAAATATAAACAGATAGCATTTTAAAATTAGGACGTCTTGATGTGGCTCTGTGGGGGATGCGCTGGCATGCAAAGTCGGTTTGGACAGCAAGGTGGTGGTTCAAGCCCACCATCCGCTCCTCCGAAACCCTATACAGGGTCGCTATGGGTCGGAAACGACTCATCGGCACTTAACATCTTCATAAGGAGTCCTGGTGTGGTGATATAGGATAAGCACTGGATTACCTATCGCAGGGAGTAGAAACCCTTGAAAACTCTATGCAAACTCACTATGAGTTAGCACTAAACAGTAATGTTATGTGCCGTGGAGTCGGTTCTGACTCATAGTAACCTGTACAGGGTTTCCCAGGCTATAAATCTTTACGGGAGCAGAAAGCCTCATCTTTCTCCCGCGGAACAGTTGGTAGTTTCGAACTGCCGACTGTGAGAGTAGCAGCACAATTTGTAACCACTACGCTACCAGAGCTAACAACAATAACTCTTGATAAATTGGTTCATGCTAGTTTTCGTTTTACTTGGATCCACAATCATCACCCATGGAAGCAGCAGTCAAGAAATCAAATGAAGTCCTAACACTCCCCCTACTCCTACCTTACCTCTAAAAAGAAAAAGAAAAAAAAAAAAAGTGAAATGACTATTGTATTAGGTAAATCTGCTGTATAAGACCTCTTGAAAGCGTTAAAAAGCAAAGATGTCAGTTTGAGAACTAAGGTGCTCCTGACCCAAGCCATGGTGTTTTCTATCCCCTCCTACGAATGGGAAAGTTGGACAATGAATAAGGAATACCATAGAATAATCAATATATTTGAATTAGGATGTTGGCAAAGAATATAGAATGTACCAGGGACTGTCAGAAGAACAAACAAATCTGTGTTGGAAGAAGTATAGCCACAATGCTCCTTAGAAGCCACGAGGACGAGACTTCTTCCTTCTCAGGTACTTTGGACAGGTTATCAGGAAGTACCAGTCCCTGGAAAAGGTCATTATGCTTGATAAAGTGGTGGGGCAGCCCAAAAGAGGAAGACCATCTATGAGATGGATTGACATCGGCTACAACAGTGGGCTTGAGCCACAAAAAATGTAGAGATGTTAAAGGACCAGGCAGTGTTTTATATGTTGGGTAGCTGTGAACAGCACCTAACAACACCAATACACACTCATGTACACACAGAGCCCTAGTGGTACAACAGTTAAGCACTTGACTGCTGACCGTGAACTCTTGGCAATTTGAACTCACCCAGTAGTTCCAAGGGAGGAAGACTGGCAGTCTACTCCCATGAAGTTTACAGCCGTAGTATGTACTACTCATCACATGGAGTTGCTGTGAGTCACAATCAGCTCTACAGCATTCAACAAGACACATATCTATTAGTTGATCTGCAAGTGAAGACCTCCTAATCGTAAAGGCTGGGTCATCAGAGTGGCCTAAAGTGTACACAGAGGAAGTACTCCAACTGCTCTGGATTTCTACAAGACAATTGAAGTGCCAGTCATTCCTTCAGGACCTGCTTATAAGATTTGTTTGTTGTTGTTGTTAAGTGCCGTGGAGGTGGAGTCAGTTCCCACTGGTCGCAACCCTCTACAGCTTTTCTGAGGAGCAGCTGGTGAGTTTGAGCCATCAACCTTGCGGTTCAAACCGACCTTGAGGTCGAGTATCTATCCCACAGAGCCACACTAAGCTTGTTTGTTGTTGTTAAGAGCCATCAAGTCGGTTGTGAGTCCTAGTGACCCTGTTATAGGGTTTATAAGGAGCAGCTGGTGGGTTTGAACTGCTGACCTTGTGGTTCAGAGTTCAGTGCTGATCTTACAGCGCCACACCAGGAGCTCTGTTGTTTTGCATTTCTTGCATTTCTGTTTTCCTTTGACCATTTTTGCGTTTGGTGTGTGTTTCTCATCTCCTCTTCCAGACTGGGGAGCCACATCCTCATTCTCTATTCCTTTTCTGCTGGAATAGAAAAGAATGGAGAAATCTTCTGGGATGAAATGATTATGAAGGAAACATGATAGGGTTTGGTGACTACTTATAGAGCCCTGGTGGCTCAGTGGTTAAACACAGGATTGCTAAGTGAAAGCTTGGTGGTTTGAACCCACCAACTGCTGCACAGAACCATGTGGTAGTTGGCTTCTGTAAAGATTTACAACAACCCTGTGGGCAATTCTGCCCTGTACTGTACGGTTGCTGTGAATTGGATGGCAATTTGTGTGAGTGTGTGTGTGTGTGTGTGTGTATGACTAATATGGGGATTGGGAAAGAGAGAGCTAGGGAGAAGAATTAAAGATAGTTCTAGCATTTTTGACTTGATTGACAAGGAAAATACTGCCTTAAACAGAAGGGGAAGTTGGTAGAGCGGGAGGGAAGCAAATTTTAAGGGGGAAATACTGAGTTCCATATTTAATGTGCTGAATTTGCTTCTGAATAGTGGCAGTGCTAAGAAGTGAGTTGGCTGATTTTAGGATTTCCATAGTCTCTCCTTTGGTATGGATAGTTGAGATTTTCCTAATCATACATAAAACAAACATAAAAGCAAGCAAAAAAATGAATACCCCAAACAGTTACCAAGTCAATTTGGACTCATAGTGACCCTCCAGAAGAGAGTAGAATTGTCCCTATAGGGTTTTCTAGGCTATCATCTTTACAGAAAGGATAAGCACTGGACTGCTAACCACAAAGTTGGCTGTTCAATCCCAACAGCTGTTCTACAGGAGAAAAGAGGCTCTCTGTTCCCATAAAGCTTCAGAAACCCTATACAGGTTGCTGTGAGTTGGAACCCGTTAGACAGTGCTTAACACCAGCAATCTTTACAGACACAAACTGCACTGCCACATCTTTCTCCTGAAGAGCAGTTGGTGAGTTCAAACTACAGAACTCCGTTAGCAGCGAAGCACTTAGCCACTACGCCACCGGAGTTCCTCATCATATGTAAACCCAGCTTTAAACTTTCTTCCAAGCTAGACCCTCCTGTATAAAAAGGTGGAAGCTACTTATCAGACTAGCTACAGTTGTTAAGTGCCACCGCGTTGATTCCCTGTATAGGGTTTCCAGTGAGTTTGAGCTGCCAATCTTGTGGTTCAAACTGACTTTGCAGTCTAATGCCTATCCTACAGCGCCACACCAGGACTCTGTCAGGTGAGATAGTGTCTGTCAGGTGAGATAGTGTCTTGAAAAGGTCAGGAGGCAATTGAAGACAAGACTAATGTGTTGTTCCTTTTGTCTCCTACTGGGAGCTGCAGTATTATTATTTATTTTTTAAAAATGTTAAATGCCATCTAGTCAGTTGTGGTTCTTAGCAACCCTGTATATGGAAGTTTGTTGTTGTTGTCAAGTGTTGTTGAGTCAATTCCGACCCATAGCGACCCTGTATAGGGTTTCTGAGGAACAGCTGGTGAGCTTGAACAGCTGACCTTGAAGTTCAAACGGCTTTGCAGTCTGGCGCATTAACCCACAGCGCCACACCAGGACTCCCTCATTTTTCTTCTGAGGAGCAGTTAGTGGACTCTAACTACCAACCTTGTGGTTAGAAAAATAGATTCCTCCTAAAGTCAGCGGTTCGAAACTACCAGCTGTTCCACCCGGCTTTCTGCTCCCATAAAGATTTACAGCCTCGGAAACCCTATACAGGGTCGCTATGAGTCGGAATTGACTCTACGGCACACCACCACCACCATTGTGAGAATTTAATGCCCAAAGAAGAAACACTAAGGAGATAAAATGAAGGGTAGTGAATCTTCCAATAATTTGGCAGACTGAATTGGGAGATGTTTAGACCAAAGCCAAGCCAGTCAAGTTGATTCCAACTCATGGTGAGCCCACATGTTGGGAGTGGAACTGTGCTCCATAGGTTTTTCATAGCGATGGCCTTTCAGAACAAGGTGGTTAGGTTTGTCTTCTAAGGCCGTGAGATTAGCAGCCCGATTTGTAACCACTGCACTACCAGAGCTCCTTAGGCTCCTCTGGATGGGTTCAAAATACCCACCTTTCTGTTAGTAGCTGAGTGTTTAACCATTTGTTCTGCCCAGGGCGACTGGGTGATGGTTCAGTTAAGTGAAACCCCTTACCACCAAGTTCTGATTCGTGTTTCAGAGCAGAACTGCTCCACAGGGTTTTCATAGGTGTGTTCTCTATGGAAGCAGATCAGCCGACCTTTCTTTTATGACATTAATGGGTAGGGTCAAACTACTACCAACTTTTAAGTTAGGTGTCAGGTTCTTAGGTTCAGTGCAACTTGATAGTTGCTTACTGAGAGAGAACCTACTTAGAGTAGGCTGATTTTTGCTCTTGTCAGCCATTTCCCAGATAATTTGCTACATTATCTCATGGCTAGGATGAAAAAGAAATTATCATGCATTCCAGAAAGAGCTATATCATTTACGTAACAGCAAAACATTTCAGCAAACAAACTTTTCTTCCCCCTAGCATTGTGTAGACGAAATACTTTGGTAGCTTGACTCAAGTCTTTCACTTTTCATCTGGTTGTCCTAGCATAGTGTTGACACAGCCAGGAGTGGGTTAAAATGAAAGACAATAATAACACCATTACTCATCAACAGCCTCACATTGAGTAAAATGACTTGACCTTTTCTTCCTAACTCTTGTGAATGCTCCTGATAAGTTGTTTAGTATCCAAACTGACCAAAGTGAGCATATTTAAAAGATGAGAGAATAATTTATTTTTTTTTGAAAGGAGACTGCCAATTTGAATGAAAGTCAAGTAATTAACATAAACTCAGAGAACGCAAAGCCCTCTGGACCTCTCCTCCAACCTGGAGATTCCTAGCTCAAGGATTGCACAGGGCTAGCCTGTGCATTTGGAGTCCTGGTAACAGGTTACAATTGTGGGTTAACGCACTGAGCTGCAAAGTCGGTTTGGTGGTTCAAGCTCACCAGCTGCTCTTTGGAAAGCCTATACAGGGTCGCTACGCATTGGAACCGACTCGACAGCACTTAACAACAGCAGTCTGCATTTGGGCAGATCTTATGACCACCACGAAGAGCTAAGAGTGGAATGAGCCTTTGGACCCAGGATCTCTATGCTGAGAACCTTCTAGACCCAGGAGACAGTGAGAAGCAGCAGCAAAGAAATGGTGGCAGCAGAACCAAAAGACAGCGGAGGGCTTCGCAGCCTATGGGGTGAGGCAAGTATGGTGGGTGTGCTGACATGCCTGGAGTAAGGGAAATAAGCACCTTCCAACAGGAGGCTAAGGAACTCTGGTAGTGTAGTGGTTATGAATCGGGCTGGTAACCTCAAGATCAGCAGTTCAAAACTACCAGTTGTTCCACGGGAGAAAGATGAGGCTTTCTGCTCCTGTAAAGATTTACAAGCCTCAGAAACCCTGTGAAGGGTCACTATGAGTTGGAACTGACTCCACAGCACTTAACAACAACAACAGCACCTATTGGCAGAGGTGAAGAGCTTTGTGATACTTGCCAGAGCAGGGCAGAGGCAAGGCCGAATAGCTGAAGGCCCAGTGGGTTTAGGGGCTGAGTGGCCAAGGGCCAGAGAGAGTCCTGCCTGTACTTGTGGGCACATCTGAGAAGAAGCTATTGTGATTGAAAAACTATTATTTTTTTAAGTTTTTATTGTGAATTGAGTGATAGTTTACATGGGAAAACAACGGTTTTACACTCATCGTTTCATTGCAATGATTACAATCCCCTCC